GTGTGAGCCAATTTCTTATAAAAAAATCTCTTTCTATATACATATCTGCCTGTATCTATTGGTTCTGTTTCTCTGGAGAACTAATGTAGGAAATATGGCTAGCTCATTGGTCTGAATGTTTGTGTCCTCCCGAAATTAATATATTGAAAGCTAACCTCCATGGTGATGGTATGAGGAGGTAGGGCATTTGGGGGATGATTATGTCATGAGGGCAGGGCCCTGACGAATGGGATTGGGATTAGTGCCTTTATCAGTGGAGAACCAAACTCCCTTGCCCCTTTGCACCATGTGATAACACAGCAAAAAGACGCTTACTGTCTATAAACCAGCTGTCATCAGACACCAAGTCTGCAGGTGCCTTGATCTTGAACTTTCCAGCTGCCAGAACCATGTGTATTTATGAGAAATAAATTTAAGTTGCTCATGTGCCACACAGTTTGTTAATTTGTTACTGCAATCCAAAAGGACTATGACACACATGTTAGACTGTTTTTCCCTAGTTGCAGATTTTTCCTTTGATTGTTTATAATGAAGTGAGTGACGAGAATAATTAAGAAAACCCATGGTTGAAATGAGATTAGATATTATCTTCAGTCCATCTCATGGTATTTTTGTTTTGTCAGGGTATTTCCCGGTAGAGAAACAATTTGAGGCAAATGTTTTTTCCCACATATTTTCTTTATTCCATTTCCGTTTAAAAAAATTTTAATTTAAAAATAAAAAATAGTCACCTATAATTTCATCTCCCAGAATTGCTGTTATTTTTTGCATATTAGCATCCACATGTATATTCATTCATATGGTACATAGTGTTCCTTTATTTTTGCTCAGCATTACAGTATGAAGCATATATTTCAGCTTCTTGCTGCCAAGTATGATGTTGGCTGTGAGTTTATCATATATAGCCTTTATTATGTTGAAGTACTTGCCCTCTATACCCATTTTGTTGAGAGTTTTTATCATGAATGCATGTTGAATTTTGTCGAATGCTTTTTCAGCATCTATGGAGATGATCATGTGGTGTTTTCCTTCTTTTTGTTGTTGTGGTGGATGATGTTGATGGATTTTCGAATGTTGTACTATCCTTGCATCCCTGAGAATGAATCCCACTTGATCATGGTGTATGATCCTCTTGATGTGTTTTTGAATTCAGTTTGCTAATATTTTGTGGAATATTTTTGCATCTATGTTCATCAGGGATATTGGTAATTTTCTTTTTTTGTGGTGTGTTTACCTGGTTTTGGTGTTAGAGTGATGCTGGCTTCATAGAATGAGTTTGGAAGTATTCCCTCCTCTTCTGTTTTTTGGAAGACTTTAAGGAGAATGGGTATTATGTCTTCTTCATATGTCTGATAAAATTCAACAGTGAATTCATCTGGCCCAGTGGTTTTGTTCTTGGGTAGTTTTTTGATTACTGCTTCAATTTCGTTGCTGGTAATTGGTCTGTTTAGATTTTCTGTTATTTCCATGGTTAGTCTTGGAAAGTTGTATTTTTCTAGGAAGTTGTCCATTTCTTCTAGGTTTTCCAGCTTGTTAGCTACAGATTCTAATAGTATTCTCTAATAATTCTTTGTATTTCTGTGGAGTCCGTCGTGATTTTTCCTTTCTCATTTCTGATTCTGTTTATGTGTGTAGATTCTCTTTTTCTCTTAATAAGTCTGGCTAGGGGCTTATCTATTTTGTTTATTTTTCTCAAAGAACCAGGTCTTGGTTTCATTGATTTTTTTTCTATTGTTTTATTCTTATCAATTTTATTTATTTCTTCTCTGATCTTTATTATGTCCCTCCTTCTGCTGACCTTAGGCCTCATTTGTTCTTCTTTTTCCGGTTTCAATAATTGTGACTTTAGACTATTCATTTGGAATTGTTCTTCATTCTTTAAATATGCCTGGATTGCTATATACTTTCCTCTTACAACTGCCTTCGCTGCATCCCACAGAAGTTGGGGCTTTGTGCTGTTGTTGTCATTTGTCTCCATATATTGCTTGATCTCCATTTTAATTTGGTCGTTGATCCATTGATTATTTAGTAGCATGTTGTTAAGCCTCCATGTTTTTGCTTTCTTTGTACGGTTTATTTCTAGTTTTATACCTTTGTGGTCTGAGAAGTTGGTTGGTAGAATTTCAATCTTTTTGAATTTATTGAGGCTCTTTTTGTGGCCTAGTATGTGATCTATTCTGAAAAATGTTCCATGTGCACTTGAGAAGAACGTGTTTCCTGCTGCTTTTGGGTGTAGAGTTCTGTAGATGTCTGTTAGGTCCATCTGTTCTACTGTGTTGTTCAGTGCCTCTGTGTTCTTACTTATTTTCTGTCTGGTGGGTCTGTCCTTTGGAATGAGTAGTGTGTTGAAGTCTCCTAAAATGAATGCGTTGCATTCTATTTCCTCCTTTAATTCTGTTAGTATTTGTTTCACATATGTTGGTGCTCCTGTGTTGGGTGCATATATATTTAGAATGGTTATATCCTCTTGTTGGACTGAGCCCTTTATCATTATGCAATGTCCTTCTTTATCTCTTGTTACTTTCTTTATTTTGAAGTCTATTTTGTCTGATACAAGTCAAGTTCTGCAACACCTGCTTTTTTCTCCCTGTTGTTTGCATGAAGTATCTTTTTCCATCCCTTGACTTTTAGTCTGTGTATGTCTTTGGGTTTGAGGTGAGTTTCTTGTAAGCAGCGTATAGATGGATCTTGCTTTTTTATCCATTCTATTACTTTGTGTCTTTTTATTGGTGCATTCAGCCCATTTATATTTAGGGTGATTATCAAAAGATATGTACTTATTGCCATTGCAGGCTTTGGATTCGTGGTTACGAAAGGTTCAAGGGTAGCTTCTTTACTATCTAACTGTCTAACTTAACTGTCTTATTAAGCTGTTATAAACACAGTGTGATGATTCTTTATTTCTCTCCCTTCTTATTCTTCCTCCTCCATTCTTTGTATGTTAGGTGTTTTAGTCTATACTCTTTTGTGTTTTCTTTGACTGCTTTTGTGGGTAGTTGATTTTATTTTTTGCCTTTAGTTAGTATTTGGTTGGTCTACTTTCTTTGCTGTGATTTTATTTTCTCTGGTGACATCTATTTAGCCTTAGGAGTGCTTCCATCTCCAGCATTCCCTTTAAAATATCCTGTAGAGGTGGTTTGTGGGAGGCAAATTCCCTCAAGACAACTTTTGCTTGTCTGGGAATTGTTTAATCCCTCCTTCATATTTAAATGATAATCGTACTGGATACAGTATTCTTGGTTCCAGGCCCTTCTGTTTCATTGCATTAAATATATCATGCCATTCTCTTCTGGCCTGTAAGGTTTCTGTTGAGAAGTCTGATGATAGCCTGATGGGTTTTCCTTTGTAGGTGATATTTTTTCTCTCTCTGGCTGCCTTTAATACTCTGTCCTTGTCTTTGATCTTTGACATTTTAATTATTATATGTCTTGGCATTGTTCTCCTTGGGTCCCTTGTGTTGGGAGATCTGCGGGCTTCCATGGTCTGAGATACTATTTCCTCCCTCAGCTTGGGGAAATTTTTAGCAATTATTTCTTCAAAGACACTTTCTATCCCTTTTTTCTCTCTTCTTCCTCTTTTGGTACCCCTATAGTGTGAATATTGTTATATTTGGATTGGTCACAGAGTTATCTTAATATTCTTTCATTCCTGGAGATCCTTTTATTGCTCTCTGCCTCAGCTTATCTGTGTTCCTGTTCTCTGATTTCTATTCCATGAACATTCTCTTGCACCTCATCCAGTCTGCTCTTAAGTCCTTCCAGATATTCTTTCATTTCTGTTATTTCCCTCCAGATTTCATCCCTTAGCTCTTGTACATTTCTCTGCAGGTCCATCAACATAGTTATGACCTTTATTTTGAATTCTTTTTCAGGAAGATTGGTTTTATCTACTCCCCAGGCACTCTCTGGGGTTGTGTGAGTGATTCTTGACTGGACCAGATTCTTCCGCCTTTTCATGGTGGTAGAGGTGGTTGTAGGCAGGTGGCGTGTGTGTCAGCTTCGGGAGCACAGAGTCCCTTCCTGCTTGCTGGTTGCCTTGTCCTTCTCTGCTGCCTGTGTTGGTTACATGCTCACTGGGAGCAGTCTCTGGGATAATCTCCTGAGCAGCTGTGAGCAGGGCAGCCCTCTGGCTAGCTCAGAGCCCTGTGGGGAGTGGTGGATATGTAGGGTGTGTTCTCCTGTGAGAACGGCGCCCCTTCATGCCTTGCCCTGGATTCCTCTGTCTGTGCTGTGCAGCTATGCACCGGTGGCAGTCTCTGGGTATGTCCTGTTGGGTAGCTGCATGCTGTGAGGAGACTCTGTGTGGTTGCTATGGGCGGGGCTGCTCTCCAGCTGCTCCCCCTCTGTGGCGTGTCACCTGGTTTGTTTGCAGCGCCAGCTGAGGGGGATGAATGGCAGCACTCTGCTTTCCACTGTGAGGGGCTTTGGGACTGGGTTACCTCCCAGGGGGTTGGGTTACCTGAAGTTCCTTAGGATTCCCAGCCTGCTGAGCTGAGTGTGCTGGAACGATTTTGTCTAGCTGCTAAGCCCTTGTCCCTTTAAGACTTTCAAAAATCACCTGCTTTTCTTCTGTTCCAGGGGAGCCAGCTGTGGGGACCCACTCACAGTCTCTCTCTTGTGACTTCTCATCAGTTCTACAATGTGAATAATTGTTTCTGTACTATAACTAAACAGGATGAATATAAGGGCTTTAGAGTGGATCTTCAAAGAAGAATGCTGCTGGCAACTTTCTGTTATAGACTAATAGACTTGCCATTTCAGTAGGAGATGGGAGCTGGAAAACAGCAAAGTAATGGGATACCTGACCCAAATATAAGAACTAATAACTTGGAAAGGGTTTTATATTGTCACTTGACTTAATTTTTTACTAAACATTAGTATTTTTGTTATAACCCTGGAACATTTAGATTTGGGTATTTAAATGTATAAATTATTTAGGAAAGAGCAATATCTTTATCTTCCAAAGTGATCATTATTCTGTTTTATTTCCTATTTCTCCAGAGATATTACATATGAAATATCAGTAGAAGCTGTATCCACAATGGTTGTTTTCCTTTCCTGCCAACTCTTCCACAAAGAAGTTTTGCGACAGAGCATCAGTCATAAATATTTGATGCGAGGTCAATGGTAGGTTTCTATTTGCAGTATGTCCCATTTTATATCGTGTAAATCTGTATTTGTGGTTTTGTCCCCTTACATTAGTATTTTCCCAAACCTCCAATCAGATATTGTCTCTGGTGGTTCTGTCAGTACTTCAAACCCAACTCCTCCGCTAATTATCTCCTTTTCCTTTTCATCCTCCAGCTCCATTATCTTCTCTAGTGGTTTTGTTCAAGAATTGCAGCTGGGAAGTCACCTTTCTTCTTCCTTCTGCATGTTTTCTATATCTGAGTAGTCAGCCAGTAATATTTGTTCACTGAAATTATTTTTGTGTCTTTCCCTTTACACCAGTCCCATAGAAACTGTTGTATCTTGTGCTCTGCCTGTCACCATGTATTTGGATTACCTTGCAGCCTCTTGACTGACTGTTCCTACTTTAATTTAGTCAACAAATATTTATTGTGTGCTGTGTGCCAGACATGTGGGCTGTGCTCTTGAGCAGAAGCTTATGATCTCCTATTGGAGGGGATGGGAATAGATAAATGGTAAATACACACACAGCCATGACCTTCTATGGACACAGTCTTTACAGAACATTAGAATGTAAAAGAAACACAAATAAAATAGCTTCAATTAAAGTTCTCAGAGAGTTGGGAACTGTGTCTTTTTCATATTCTTTTTTGTTGTCTTGGTTTCCTTTGTGGTACCTTCTTGCCACCTTAATTATATCTAGCACATTCACAGAATCCCTTACGGCTCTTTGGAACAGATTTGAAAATCTCACTGATGGTCGGCTTTGGTTTTTGTCTATTAAAATAGCTTTGGCTGGAGTCTATTTGGCTCAAGTCTGTTAAAAAGTTTTCTTTAGATTGCCAGTTGGTTTATCACCAGTTTATGGGTCCATATCCCTTTTCACCTATTTTTCTCTCCTCTCTGTACTTCGAAGCAAAGACTATTAACGTTAAGAAAACTGTATACATATGTGTATATATATATTTTTTGTCTNTATAAATAGAATAATTTCATACTTAAAAAGTGTAGTTTTTTGTATTATTGCTTTTTAATAATTGCTTTTCCCTACTGATTCTGTTTTAGTAGTAACTACTTATTCTCTTCCTCTTGTGTAATTTTGTGCTGGGTACCGTATTATACACTGAATTCTTATGCGTCTGTTACAAAAATTACAAATAAGGTGACTGAAGCTCAGGAGTGGAAGTAATTTGACCAATGACCTATCGTATAGTAAGAGGAAAGCCAGAGTGAAGCCTCAAGTCTGATCTCAAAGCCCATGCATGGTCTTCACTAGAATGTGACAATGCTAGATTTCTTGGAATTGTGGTACTCCCTTTATAGTAGTAGATTACCTAGATTATATTCATCATTATACAAAATCAGGTGAGCCTGTAAATATAAATTTGATTTTCTTCTTTCTTCTTTTTGTGTAGTCTTCCATACACCAGTAAACTTGTGAAAACCTTATTGTATAACTTTATCCGACAAGAAAAGCCGCCTCCTCCAGGAGCACATCTGTTCCCTCAGCAGTCGGATGGAGGAGGACTGCTTTATGGACTTGCATCAGGAGTAGCAAGTAAGTCTTAGGAGATTTTGTCAGTTCTTTGGTGTACATGGATTTTGTGTAATTAGTCACAAGCAATTCTGTTCACTTGGCTGCCACCACTAACGGTTGTATAGGATCTGTGCAGCTGGCTAAATGTGAAATACTGGAAGTAAATCAAAGTATTTTTTCCATTCAGTGCAATGATTTATGCAGTGAAATATATGCAAATTATGAATGGGTTGTTTTCCTATTTTTTCACCATTTTTTTTAAGAAGAATGTTTATAAATACGCATATTGCATGAGTTCTAGCTGTACAATATAAATACAATTAAGCTCTTGGAAACTTTACTGCTTGAGTTTTATGAGAAAACCATTCTATTTTAGGGGCTTTATTAGTTAGGATTTTGCTGACAAATTGGGTATAGTTTTCTTACTAAATGTTTCATTTATTCAGTGACAAATTAGCGCATTTTGAAGAGTTTTATAATAAATTCTGAGTGTCACAAATGTGGGTTTTATCAGATTAGAAGCAAATTGCTTTAGCTGAAGTGGGTCCTTTCCCACAGTAAAGCCCCATTTCTGCTTCACACTGTTCAGACCTGAAGACTCTGGAAGTGCAAGAGTCCTGCTTGTTCCCCCTGTGTCAGTGTGGAGGCTCTGGGTCATGTGAGGTTATACAAACGGAACTTTCACTTTATTCTGAAGGAAAAACAAAAACTAGACTGGTGCTTTGGCGGTTGTAAGGTCTGTGCAAGCACTCGTACTAAACCAGCAGTGTCCATTCTATTTAAATACATGTGCAGTGTTCACTGTTTGAAGGAATCCCAAATGGAGCGGAGACCTGCAGCTGAATTGTGGCTGTGGTGTGCTCTCCGTACGTAGTCCGGGAGGAACATCGGCTTGGTATGAAAATGTAGTACTGTGTGATAACTTTCTAGATAATGAGTCTTGGGAACCTCTTTGGATTAAAGACCTCTGCTGACCCTAGGAGTTGATCTGTGGGGACCAAGCTTTCTATATTTAACTTTCTTTGGCTTCTTTTAATATTTGGAGCTGAATTAGATTTGTAATCACCTAGGGTTTTGTCTTTTGTGTTGAGTCTGCATAGAATGCCTAGACCTCAGGGGGGTTGATCCTCCCAGCGGCTCCTACCCCTGGCCCTCATTGTTTCTGAGCATGAGGGTGCACAGGGCTGCTCATTCACGGCCTGGGAAGGCAGCACAGGAATGGCTTCCTGTCTCCCACCTGGGAAGGCTTCATTAATCTCTTAGTGTTTTCTTTTTTTGATCATTAAACTGGTACAAGTTTTTTCTAATACCCCAGTATGGTTGGAGATTTTTTGGAACCTTCTTTCTTCAAAACAATAGCAATACTTGCATTAAAAAAAAAAAAAGTAAAGTAAACAGATTTGTATGTAGTTTTTGGTTTTTCTTTTAGTTTTGTGTCATCAAAAGGAGGACCAGTATGGTAATGTAGTGTTTTCAGTACTGGGTGCTAAAACACTTACAAGATTTGCTACCTAGTTATCCGCATATCTGAAGGAAATCTCTTCGCTTTTCATTTTTCTGCTTTCCAGTGTCCTTGTCTACTGAATGAACTGTTTGGGATAGATGATCTCTGAGATTATTTCTACATAAGTGTCAGTGATCCAGTGGTCTTTTCCCCTACCATTAAAAAATTTAATATTCAACTAAGGACATTAAAATAGATTTTTAGTGTGCTCCAGTCACAAGACATTTTACATCGCTTCTTATAACTTCATAAATTTATCCTTGTAAAATCATGATGAAATATTATTTCACAATATGTGACTCAAAAGATTATAAAAAAACAACAAGAGGATATTCCTCTCCCACAGCTATGTATGTGAGCCAAAAAAAAAAAGTAAAAATAATCATAGTTAATGTGATTTTGAATCAAGCCATGTTCCATGAAAGTCAGTCAGTCAAGTTGACAAAGGATATTTGACTTTAGTTGTGTGATCACTTTTGATGATTTCTTGGTTGGTAGTTAAGGAGTTTTCTTACTTTAATATTGGCTTAAGAAAAAATGCGATTTAGAACTTCTTTACTGAAAAAAACTTATATTCCAAAGCCAAATGTAAATTATAAACTCTTGGATTATATTTGTTTTAGTTGGGATTGAATTTTTCCTGGATATAGAAGCATTTCCTTTCATAACAGTATGTGTATGGTATGTTTTGCTTAAATAATTCACTTTGAAATAGAGTGCCTTATTTCAAAGAACTTTATAGTCTTGGATAGTGAAGTTTTGTTGAGACTGGCAGGGGAAGAGGAGAATCCTTGTGCTGCATGAGCAGTGAGCCACATGTCTGAGCCCTCACAGGAGTTAGGCTAAGCCTTCTCCAGTTTATTCTCACTTTTTCAGACTTATTTCTGGTTATTCTATTTGTTTCTCAGACTCTAGCAAAAACTTTGTTACTTTTTACATACCTGACACACTCTCTTTTCATGCCTTTCGTGGGATTTCCTTTTTAACCTAGAATCCTACTCTCTCCTCTCTGACTTTGATGCTTCTGCTTGTCCATCTCAAGTAGCGCCTTCTCCACAAAGACTTCCTTTTCTCCCATCTTGCTAGATTTGCTCTTTTTCTGTGGCACTTAACACTCTGCTTTGTGTTATGATTACTATGTACAAGCATCACCCTCTATGCATTGGCTCTAGATACAGTAAAGTGAGAGCTGACATGTGTACAACACTTCAGAGTTTGCAGAGCAACTTTCTGTGTATCTCACTTAATTCTCATAGCAACCTTGTGAAAATACATGGCTTTACTTTTCTAATTAAGATGAAGAGATGTTCCCAGTTATTAATATATTTGTCCAAGATCACATAGGAAAAAGGTGATATTGGTTTGCACTGGCGCTCAGTGCCTTTGACTCCTGACCTTTGCTCCCTGGCCTTTCATTGTCACCACTCGAATCCTGACTGTGGAAGTTGTTCTCACCTTAGGTGTGGGTTGATGATGTTCACTGTGGTCTCCAGCAGAGTACCTTCCATCTGTGGACTGTGCACAAATACTTGCTGGATGTAACTAAATACCAAAAGCTGATACTTGTCTACACTTGAGGAGGATGTGAACTCAGTTATAATAACAAAGCTATCATTTAATGAATGCCTTTTGTTTTCTAGTCACTTTATTAGCTCCTTTACATACATAATTTCACCTACCCCTTATTTTTCTTTTTTAACATTTTATTGTGGAAAACTTCCAATAGAAAGAATGACAGAGTGAACTCTCCCCATCTATCCATGACCTGTCTTCAACAATTATCATTTTCCTTTTTTTTTTTTCTCATTTGTCTCTCTCCTCTTTTAAAAAACTTTTTAGTTGGAAGTAAGTTCATGCATACCTAAAAGTTACAAAAATAAAAATATTACAAGTATTATTTAATAAATGTTAGAAATTTTTAAATAAATACTTAAGTAAATATTTGCAAAGTAAACATTTTATCCTGTCTGTTTTGTATTTGTATTCTCACTCTTCCCCCAAGAAGACACACACTATATGGACACACGGTTTTTTTGTTAACCATTTGAGGATAAGTTACATGCATCCTTTACCCCTAAATACTTGAATGTTTATATCCTAAAAGAGGATGTCTCCTATACAACCACCATACATTTACCAACTTCAGTAAATTTAACACTTAAATTAGTCATAAAAACAAATGAGGTAGGCATTTGTTCTATGTCAGTGAAAATAATGGAAATGGAGATTTTCCTCTATTTTAAAATGTCCTTTATTAATATAGTATTTGAATTGCACTTACATTGAATTTTTATAGGGGGGTGTTCTTATAACTACATGATATAGCATATACCCTCCTTCTTTCTGTTTATGATTGGTCCTGTAATATGCAGTGAGTGCTTGGATGCTATTTGATGAGAAGATAATAAATAAATGGAGGAATTAATAATACCTTGTAATTACCACTAGTAAGTTTTTTGCAGTTAGTGAGAGTAATGAAAACAAACGTGTATAGCTTTTGTTGTTTTTTTTAAAAAACATTTTCAAATGTGTCAAGTGAGATTTTCAAATGTCTCACTGGAAATGGTGAGAATGAATTATATGTTATTATATTTATCTGTTAATATCTATCATGCATGCTAATAAACCTCTATTCATAATTTTGCAGTACAGGAAAAGATGGTTTCCTTCCTCTTTATAGTTTTTTAATTTAGATATTCCTCTAATGTGCTGACAAAATGGAAAAAGAATCAATTGATGTATCACTTTACTATTTAGAAAAGAGTGCTACAGTTTTAATTAATGTGGTATTTTTTAATGAATCATAGAATTTCAGGATTAGGAGAGATGATGATAAAGGTCATCCAGCACCTCCTGAACATTAGCAGATCCACCTCGTGTACTTTTAATAAATGCATGTGCATGTACTTAAACCTTGGAATTTCTCAGTCATTAGGTAGGCATAACATGGGCATAGTCATATACATTTTCAGTAGGCATTCTAGATGATTCTGCTAATAGCTGGTCTGTTGCAGCAGCACTTGTGTGGTATGGGTCCCTTTCTGTACTTGAATCTGTACTGCTGTGGGCCCCTCATGGCAGATAGTTGATCGAGTGCTCTCTCCTACTGAGAATGCATTGTTTTGAGGTAGCTTTAGTGGGTTAACTGATCCTTTTCCTCTTGTATTATCTTAGTTTATCTTTTTATTGTTCTCTGTTGCTGATAAAGTCCAGTTTATCAGGGTCATTCTTTAAGTATGACCATCAGTACAGTACACCAGTGTAAAATAGATTGAAACTCTAAACTCCCTGATTCTGGACATGGTAATTTTTATTTTTAATTAATGTAGATAAAATGCCCATTAACTCTTTTGGCAGATAATGTACAGTTATTAATGAGTTTATTGTTAATTTTATCATCCAAGTCTTTTCCATACTTGTAGCTTTAATGTCCTATCTTTCCCCCTCAGGTTTTATATATACAAGGTACAAGACATTTCAGTGCATCTCAGTTAAATATAATTTTGTTAGATGTGTG